TCTGAATCTTTCCTTGATTTGCTTTTCCTTGTAGAAATTCCACTCTTGAAGAAAGATGTAGATGTTATGAATTACCTTCTTTCATTCTCTTTGAGCTTCCCTTCCGTATCCAGGGATTCAGATTCATTCTACTTTATCTCAAGATGAGTTTCCTGTGCTCTTAAACAAGTAATATCAAAAGTATGTAAGTATTTTGAGTAATATTGGAAAGTATGTAAACACCAGCCTCTTGTTTCAAATTGGGACCTATTAACGTGTTGGAAGGTAAGTTTAGGTGTTCTGTGCATGTATTCTAGATACTGCATAATTTAACAAGCTTTCCCTTCTGTTTGATTCAATATGTGATTTTCATGGCTCAGCGATTGAATTTTCTTGCCAAATTCTAATGGGTCTAACAAACAGGCAAAAATCTAGTTAAAAGTATAACAACTTTATAAACAAATGTTGATGAGACGTTTACCCAGAAATAAATTGGTTATCTCAGAGTTCTGGTAAGATCTTCCCCCTATACAGATAAAAGCAAGTAGGTAAAAAATGCCCGCATGTTTGCTAACTCTTTTATGGCTTTTGTTGGACTTCTCTGAGACACGGTATTTCAGTGTATTGCACTGGTCTGACTTTGACGTGTTCGTATGCTCGGTAGCAGTATAACTAAAGGGTGTTATAACGGAATATGCAATCATTAACCTGCAGTTGCTCCAAAATACCTATCTACTAACTTGTATTTGGCATTAAGGGCTTAAAACTCTCCCACTATTCATCTCTAAATGTTGTTAAAGGTGAGAAATGTTTGACTAATGTCACATGCTTGACACTGACGGTAATTTGTAGCTCTTCACACCTAGAACTGCCCCAGACTTAGCTGGCTAACTAAATCCAACAGGTGTTTAGAAACAAAACCATTCCTGATCTAAATCCCCGAGAGCCCAACACGAAAGCAGTGTCCACCACACATTTCACTGGCATCTGCAAAATTTGTCAGTTTTATGCAGTGTAGCTACAAGTACCACTTCTCTGAAAATGCGTAAGAGACTGACATGGTGGAGGCCAGTGAGACACAGCCAAATTCTGCTTCTAGGTGTCGCAGAGCAGCACCCTGAAGGCTGGACCTGTGTTTGGAATAAAGTGAAATAACGTGCACGGACACAAAGAGCGAGGCTAGTGGCACTCCGTTAAAATGTTGGCTTCCTGGTTGTAAATTATCCTTTGTCACATTCAACCCTCTCTAAGTTCTGTATAGCAAGGCTGGCAGCTGCGCTGGAGAGAGCCTGGAAACAACAATAGCAATGTGGCAGGAGAGAAGTGTGACCTCGTGTCGTGTCTGGGGGGAATTCATCTTTTCCTGCATCTAAACCGCTTGTCACATTTTTCTCTGTATCTTCCATCAGGCATCATTAGGGCATGAACTGATCACTCCGGGTATTTTTAGAAAGTGTAAATGATGGTGGAGGCATGCTGTGAATTTTCCGTCTAGCAGGAACAGAACTGCTAGCAGGAAACCGTTCGCATCATGTGACTGAACAAGTATCCATCTATTCTAGTAACATTTTTTCCATCCAACATAGCCTCCAAGCGCCTGGTAGAGACCATGTGCTTACAGGAGACTGGCTAACCTTGAGCACTACAGCTCTGCACGTTAACCATTCAAAGCGCCTATCAGCAGCTCCGTTCTAGTGTTTTTGATTCTTGACCACAGATTGCTGGAAGAAAAATCGAAGTGGCCTTTTCTGAATATGTAAGAAAACCATCTACAAGTAAATCAGCAAATTCTGGGTCACGTTGGAAGACTTGAGAGACAGCTTCTCAGGGAGACCTCCGTGGTGGCGCCTCTGGGTTGTCTGTGGAGGTGATAGAGCCTTACAAGTAAAACGGGGCGGGGGGGGGATAATAATAATAATAAAAAACAGTTTAACACGGAAATGGCTTGCAGCACTGACACGTGCTCCGCGCGTGTCCTTGTCTCTTGGACGCCCCTCCGGCGTTGCGGCCCGGCGCTGCTGCCGCCC